AAGTCACTTGCCGGGGTGATTAAAGTCACTTGCCGCTGCCTGTGACAGAAGAGACTGACTGGTGAGTCAGCTCTGGCAGAAGCTGAAGTGCTCAGTGCTTTGAAGTGCCAATGCTTGGTGCCACATGAGACCCACCATGCAAATTGTTTCTAAAAATGTTGGTTAGATTCTCTCCTGAGGAGATACCAGCCCTGCTGCTGCTACAAGTGGCACACAGCACAGACCTCTACTGAGCAGAGAGGTATTGCATGTTTGTGCATAAGACATTTATTTGTTCTCACTCTCGAACTTCCTGAATTACCTTGGTTGGGAATTTAGCTTGTGGCTCTTTCCTTGGTGTATTTTTTAGAAGATAGGTAGAGTTATTACAGCCCTGGTGTGGTCAGCCAAAAGTCCTTTTACTTTTTTAACAGCTACCATACAGGCAGTGGCAAGAGGGGCTTCCTCTGTTCACAACCTGTTAGGGACAGAAATATTGTTCCATTTGCAGTTAGAAAATCCTGTTCAGACAAAGCTTGGGCTGCATGCTGAGGAAGCTGCTGGTGAGGGCCACTGCTTGTGGAGATGCTTTCTAGGACACTGAGAGATGGGCAGTAGGACTGGCCTGAGAAGAGTATAATCCAAACCAGCACATATACCCAGAATTCTGTCAGCAGCCATGTTCTGACTTGTTTTGTTGGTTTATATTAAGCCTGGTGTACTAAAACTAACAACTATAGAGGAACTGCTCGGTCTAGAAGCAAGCTGTCAGTGGCTCATGATGATAATATTTGTCCCACCACTATATGAGTAAAATGGGATGCAGCCATTCCTCTTAACACCCCAGCTCAGTTTGTTCTCTGGAGTCAAGCAGATCAGGCCTGTGGGACCAGGGTGATCTATCTCACTGTGATCTCATTATTATGAGGTGAAATGCTCCCTGTACCATACAGCACTTTTAAACTTTACTGGAAAAAGTGCAGTAAAGTGTACTTTTTACAGTAAAGTTTAAAAAGTGCAGTAAAGTGCTTGGGGACAGGCTTTTGCCCAGAACCTGGCAATTAGGAAGCCCTAATTAAGAAGCCTAGTCTGAATCACGATGTTAGCGCTCAGGCTCCAGCTGATAGGAACACATGAAATTATTCAGTTTTTCAGTTACTCTCTACCACCTACTTTTTTACGTGGCCACTACAAAAACCACCCAAACTCACATTCCAATTCAGTTCAGTGAGAGCCACTTTATAGCCACGTCCTTCCATTTAACTCCCTTTGGTGACGGGACTTTCCCGCTGACATCAGTTCCCAGGGTGCAGAGAGCCTGGGACGCCGGCCCGTGTGTCCGTGTGTCTGTGTGTCCATGTGTCCGTGTGGGTGCTGGCACGTGTGTGTTTGTGTGTCTGTGCTCTCAGAAGTGCTTCGCTGCAGCTGCAGGACCCGAGCACAAAAATGTCAATGGTACGAAGCGTTCCAGCTGAGTTCATTTCCTGCTGATAAGTCCCCGAAGAAGAGGGTGAGGCTCAGCGCCCACGGTGCTGGTTCAGTGCTGAGGGCCACGGGCAGACAGCTCGGGGCACACTTAGCAGAACGGTGGGTTCAAAAAGCGAGTTTCCCACAGAAAAAACGCTGCTCACGTTCGCTTCCTCTCGGGCTGCCAAGTGTCAGACCTGCTGTGTAAAGCCAACCCAAAACAGGATGTTGGCTTTTCGAGTTGATTGATCTTTGAAATGCAAATGTTGTTTCTTTGGTGGTTACCTTATTCCCCCCCCCCCCCCCTTTTTTTTTTCTTTTTCAGTTAAGAATTGAGTTGCTTGAGTGAGAACAGAAAGGGTTGAGACCTCATTTTCAGGAGGTCAAAAGCCCAATATAGTAACAGCTGCTAGTTAGTGAATTCCAGGAAAGGATGTGGGTAACAGCAGCCAAGGCCAGGCAGAGAGGTGGACAGAACGACCTCAGATACTGGCACTGACAGGTGAGCTGCACTAAACCCCTCAACAAATGGCTTAACAAAGCACAGAATTGCAATCTGTCCAGCAGGAACACACAGCTCCCTCCACCCTTCGCTCTCCCACCACCGTGACAAACATACCTTCCCAGATTTGGCAGCTAGGCAGACACACCCAAATAGATAAATGCACAGACACAAATGTCAGAGACAAAGTTTCAGATGCCCTCTAAAGCACTTTTAACTAGCTGGGTTTTGAATAAAGCATTGCCATGTCTCTGCATCTCCTTTTTGTTGCTCCCTCTGAGCACCCTGCAGAGGCTCCATTGTCCATCCTTCATAGCCAAAATGAAAAAAGCCAGCAAATGTTGCCCGTGGTGTTTCCAAGCATGGCAGAACCTCTTACGCCACCTGTTCTGAAGGAATGCCAGGATGAAGGAGTTCCTTACACCTCTCCCTCACATCCTGCCTGTAGCAGGAGTGCCAGTCATTTCTTATTGAAGCAAACTTGCTATGCTGGCCTCACATGTCTTGAAAAGAATCAGACAGGAAGCTGCAAAATCCAGGGGGCCATAACTACAGCATTTTCTCAGTCAAATGAAATTTTCCCCCAGAGCCTGTTTTATAGTCTTCACTAGTGATGACTATATTTTTTTTTTTCCCCTGCAGAACAGAACAAATTTGGAACTTTTTTTAAGTATAAGAACAAGTTAGTCTATGTCACAGACACTGCTACATCCCAGGTTTGTAAGCAGGGATATACAGAAGGATGCTGAGTCATACTCGAAGATACCTCCAAGTATTTCCAAATGCACATCCTTGAAACACCCAGTTTCTCTGTAGAACCTCCCTTAATATGGTTTGTTTCAAAGTTCTTGCAGCTAAAGCATGTGGGTTGTTTGTTCAGATTTTCTGGTGGTTTTCAGTCCAGAAACAAGAGAGGAGAATAAATCCACACCTCATGTCTTCCTGTCTGGAAAAAAACATACACCATATTTCTGTGCATTCACCCCTTGCTCCTTCAGGAAGGAAGATATAGCATCAAAAAGTGTCGAAAGTACAGACAAAATGACAAAAGTGCTCCGAGTACTGCATACCATGCCCAGAGCAATGGCATTTGGGAATCCAGCAGGCAGAAAAGATTTGCTTTTGTGGCAAGATACTTGGAGGCAGAAATAAATGGAGTGAAGAATTGTGGTGGGGGCAGCTGCAACAGCTTTTGCTTTACTAATATGGGTGAAGTGATACTGCCTCTCCCTAGCAGTTTCCTTTTCTGTACACCTAAGCAAATGGTTTCCTCTGCACAGCAGAACCCCTGAAAGCAGAAAGAAAATACTGAACCAGCTCCTGAGCAGCAAGAAACAGTTATGGGAGGTGTGACTTTGACGGTGTGTTACATTGCAGATATCTCGAAAGCAACACTTTAAACACTTTCAACCCATGTCCACTGAAACCCCTCAGCTTGAAATCCTCCTTCTGTCCCCACAGCAGGCAAAGCATGGGCAGTAGAAGAATCCTTTCCTCTCTGCCTCAACCCTACTTCTCATTTCAGTTTATATTCCCTCTCCTAATGTACCATTGGCAGGACTTGAAGAAATGAATAGGATTTCCAAATAAGTGGTAGTTTCATTTTCATATTTATTTGAAATTTCATTTTCTTATATCTACAGTTGCAGCATCTTCTGGTTGCTTACAGCAGAGGGGTTTCATCTAATCCATCTAATCCAATGTTTCAACAACAAAAATTTAATTAGTCCTCTTGCCCAATCTCCAGATTGCAACAACTCAGCCTATCAGTCTTTTGGCCAAGGACAGAGTGCCTATTGTATATTGAATCTGGGAGATAATTGGATCACGATTTAGATCTGCAAATTCCACAGGAGTCCCGCAGCATGCAGGACAGCAACAGTTAACTACACTGGAAGAACCACTGTTGGTAACAGGGAGCTGGGATATCTTGATGCTCACATTTTTATCCATGCTGGAGCGTTTTCAGCCACAGCCAGCAGGGACTTGTGAAATATTGCAAAGGAGAAGTATGCATCCCTTCTAGAAAACATGCTTTAACTCTCTTCTGCCCCCAAGGTATCGTGCCAAAATGACGATACGACATTGTGTCACTTTGCAGCTGCACTCAAAGCGAGAAAGCCAGCAGAAGACAAAGGGAGGGTTTCCAAATTCCTCTGCACCACCCCGCTCTCGAGAGGTGGGGACTGAAATTCTTTGAGAAGGAGCATATGCAAACAGTTGCTAAAAGAGATGTCCGGTTTACAACACTGTGATCACCGTGGAAAGGGAAACTGCAGCAAAAACATTCCGGAGCCTTGTTTTTCCCCATCTGAATTTTTCTACCACCACGGAAGCTTCTCGCTTCCAGTGCACAAGTCCATCCCTGCGAAGGGAGGGGAAAACGACCTGCACCTTCCGACCTGGTGGTGTGAGACACAAATTCAAGGTGGAAAGAGCTGGTCCTGCTTTACAGCTGGACAGTGACAACCTTGCATGGGGACCCTCTGCTAGTGCCCACAATTAAGCCCTGTCTTCTCTCTGCGGGATCACCCAGTAGGTACTTGTCCTTCTGGGAGTACCAGCCGTGCACCGGGACAACGCCTTAAATTCTGTTCAATCCCAGTAATCACCCTCCTAATTCTGCCTTTCTAAAGACAGTTCATTGCTGAGTGAAATTACCGAAAAGAAGGCAGAGAAAGGAAAGCTGCAGTTAGAAGGAAGGGGATTCTCTCCTCACAAACAAACAGGCAAGAGACCCTGCAGCCTGGGAGAGGGAAGTGTGGACAGCGGGGAGATCGAAGCAGAGATACCAGGGCAGAAACTGCAAGCAGTGAAGAGAAATACAGACTAAACGGAGGGGTGGGAGGAGAATAAAGATAAGGTGATAGGAAGGGGGAAGAGAGAAAAAGGGAGAGGAAATGCACATGCGGTGTCCCCAAGTTTGGGCGCGGAGGCAGAGCTCGTTGCTTGTTGTCTCACGAGCCCAGCGCCCCGGGAAGGACAGTATCTGTTTAGATTTGTGTCTAAATTTAAACCCTGATTGCCTTGCCTCCCCCTCCTCTCGCCTCCCTCCCTCCCTTCCTCTCACCCACCCGCCCTTCTTCCTTGTTCGTAGTGCAGGGCCAGTGGCTGGGCTCTGTCAGTGCGGGCTGAGCAGCGGCTGGGAGCTCCAGCCCGGCGCGGCTCTGCTCTGTTCGCCTGGGCTTTTCCCACCGGTAACAGGGAAAGGGGTGGGGAAGAAACCGAGGACACCTCTCTTGCGGGACATGGAGGTAAAGAAAACTTTTTGATTTCCACTAGCTTGTGACTGGCTCCGTGATCTGCTTTAGCTCCACCTTGCAAACAATTTCTCCCTGAAGGCAGCTTCAAAATATCTTCTTGCTGGGGTTCAGATAAAGGTCTCTTTTCTCCCACCCCAACTCCTGTCGTGCATCTCAGGCTCTTTTGCAAGTTTTAGTCCAGATTTGGAAAGCAGGGGGATGGTTTGGGAAGAAATTACCTCTGTGAAAGGGGAACGAGGAAGAACTGCCATTTACTTATTAGTCTCCGAGGTGTGATTAGTGTCTTAGATTTTAAAAGGTATCATTTTGAAATTAGATTTTAAGGAGTTCTTAAAAATGGGGACATATGAGAAAAAACCTTCCAAGCTCCTTGGGGTTGGTTCCTTCCCAACCCAAGCAGCAGCAGTTGTGATGCACACCCTCAGCTGTGTGCAGCCCCTGCCCCACATGGATTGGGAAGTCTCATTTTCCTTATCAATAGAACATTTTGGGTCAGGAAAGGGCACCAGAGAACCTGTGCTTGAGTGAGGTAGATGAGTAGCACACCCTCAGAGGGTTTTCTGTCCCTTTTTCTCCATGCACCTTCAGGAGAGTTGAATCTCAGGGTGGGCACACAGCTGGTGGACAGGATTCTGGCTTCCCTGGGGTTTATATTCAAGCCTTCTCCTGTGTAACACCCTCTTGGACATGGCAGTTCACCTTCCTCTGTCTCCTGTGCCATTCATTCAAAATGGGAATGGTGGTGCTTGCTTTGGTCATGTCAGGCTGGATTTGTGAGTTTTTCAAATAGTTTTTTTAAAGTGGCAAGGGAAAAAGAATATTTATTTTTAGGAGGGGCACAGGAAATAGAAAGGTGATTACAACATTGGCAAAACCTCAAATTATGAAAGAGGACATTTGGTATTTCTCTCTGCTAAACAGAGACCTTACTAAACACTTTATATTATCTTCCCAGATAAGCCTTTTTCTGTGTGGATACAGCCCCAGTAGCAGGGACACGCAACAGAGCCAGGGAACAGTGTGCTTCAAGCACCACTTCAATTTTTCTTCAAAGAATTCCAGTGCATAACTCAGCTGGGCAATTGTGGTAACACCCAGGTGCTACCATGACCATCCTTGTTATCAGTGCTGACCTGCCCCACAGGCAAGGGTTAAAGATTTGGCCTGTTCAGGTGTGTTTTGTTACAAAAAATGTCCTCAGCTGAATTATCTAAATAGACTTTGGGGTGGAGAAGGATCAAGTAGTGGTGAAACCAGCTCAGTACAGACTACTTATGTGACATGACAAATGTTTGGCTTTACAAGGATTTTCAAGTTTGACAGAGCCTAGGTCACTCACTGTTAACACTTGTTTTATTCTTTTTCACTGTTGTATCCTGTAATGTTTCAGAGGGGAGCGGGAATTGAGCTCCTAATTTGTTATAATTTAGGGCTGAAACAGTGATTTTGGCATGCTGAGGACACTCTCCCTCGGCCCCTCTCCTTTCCACACACAGAGAACTGTATTTTCTGTTGTCTCTGTTGAGTAGAACGGAACTCACCTGCCATTTCCTTTTTGGAGACACATGTGACACATGTGGAAGGTCTGGTGGCCAGGAAGCTTCTCTGAAGTGTGACCTTAGAGCTCCCTGCTCTTGATTCTGCCCCTTTACTTCTATTTCCCACCTTTTCCCTCGTGTTACCTATTTTTTTTTTTTGTCATCTGTAGATTGCTGAATCCATTCTTATTTTTAAAATATCTCAATTTCCAAGATATTTTATAAGTAGTGCACTTGGTCCTGCCCCAAGCCTTCAAAAAGGTGTTTAATGTCCCAAAGGTAAGAAGATATTAGTCTAAAATAGAGCCAAGAGCAGGAGCTTGATTTCTCACCAGCTGATTCTCTTCTCTGTTTATTCCCAAGGGCTTTTCACAGGCAGGACACAGAGGCTCACCACAGTCTTTTTGCTTTAAAACCAGATTTAATGATCCTGTGCAGCAGGAATGAGAGGAGTCCTGTCATTTCCCTGTTTGCTTCATCAGTGGCAGGCAGAGCTGCTCCCTGCTTTCCTGCTGGCATAACTGGCAAGCTCTTTGCTCTAATGGGACACATGAGGATTTCCAGCATTAGGAGGAAAAGGGCAGAGGGCTGATCTAGCCAGCTGATTCCCATCACATCCCTGGCAGGAAGACCCTAGTTTTGAAAAACTCACAGAAGCAGGATAGTTGGGATCTCTTTCTTAAAGGGGTTAGTTTCAGTTGCTGCTGCTTAGGCACTAGTACCTAATGGCTAGTCTTAGCCATTTCCTGCTGTCAGGAATGTGCCACAATGAAAGCAGCAACTGAAACTATTTAAGATTCTAAAGAGGGAGAAAAAGGCAGCAAAACCCTGCCCTTGCAGTTCACATAATTTTGTGTCTGTTGATCTTCAGTGTTTTGTTGTTTGGCGGGTTTTTTTGGCCCATCTTCTTGATGCAAAATAGATTTGACAATCAGTTTTCTTTCCAGTGTTACGGCAGATGAAAAGAAATAATGAAGTTTATACCACAGATTGTTAACATGAGTTCATATCAAAAATGTGTAAAATTGCACTGGGGAAAGTTAAGCCACTTGTGAAGAAAAGCAGTCATGAAACATTCTTTGCACTTATGGTACAAAAAGTATTAGAAATTTTTGTGTTGGTTTGTTAGTTTACATCTTCAGATTTGGCCCAAGCTGTCTAATTCCCATGGCTTGTGGCTTCCCAAACCTTGCTGCAGATGTTGTGAGTTAAGGCATCCACTGAAAGTGCTTGTGGCTTTCTGCAGCCTATATTCCACAGCAGTCATGGCATTCCTCTTCCCAGCCTCTCTGTAGGGGCTTGGGAGTATAGAGACACTTGAACTTTACTTGCACAGCGAAGGGAAACAATCCAAGACTGAATTTCACTTGAGTGGCTCCCTATGGTGTGATGGGTTCCTAAGCTGCAGAGATGCAGCAGCAAGGTGTATTTTGGGAGGCTCCCCCCTTCTTTGTGCCTACCAACACGAAGATGTCATTTAATTCTGTGACATCTCCATTGCCATGTCTCTCTTCTGCAACTATTCCTGCTAGATCTCCATTTTTCCTGTTGGTGCACTGACTCAGCAGAGGGAAAGCTTTTCCAGGACTGAGAGCAGTTCTCTGCTCACTTCTCCCTTCTGGGCAACCTCATGGGCAGCACTCACCCTGTCCTTAGGAAAACTGCACTGAGGAGACATCACCCAAGGGGACTGCATTGGAGGGGATGCAGGAATGGGTACTGTGCCGATGAGGGGGCTGAAATCTGTGACTATCCTGGTCCTCAGAGCAGCAGGACGGGAGGTGAGCTGGGCTGAGAGGTCTCTGCCCACCCTCACAGCTGCGGAGCCGAGATTACAAAGAGGCATTACGCCATGGTTAGCTCTGCCAGGAAGCAATATCCCTTTCCCAGGAAGCTCTGATGATTTGCTTTCATTCTAAAAGTTAAAGTGTTCTTTTTCCTCTTTTCTTTTTTTCTTTTTGCTTAACAGAACAGCCCAACCTCAAATACACTTGAGTGTATTTGAGTTTCAGTGTTTCTTCCCAGGCCCATCAAAATGACATGTTCGCACAGTGTGTCTGTGAAAATACAGGGAAGAGTATTTAAATATACTGGGAGAGGTACTATATTTTATTATATAATATTTAATTTTATTTAATATAATATTTATATTTAAATGGGGAGAGGACTCCATTTTACTCCTCAGGTCTGGTCAGATTTGGGACCTGCTTGCCAGTAAATAGCATGTCTTCAGCAAAGAGTCCTGGAAAGGATCCGGTTTGCCAGACTTCCACATCCCTTTGACTGGGGGCCTCTGTCTCAAAGGACAGGAAACAGCCAAACCAAATCCCATGGGCTGTGCTGCAGCCCTTTCTTCCACCTAGCAGAGACCCCAGAATAAATGGAATTAAGGATTTTCCTGTGTTATCAGAGAGGGAAAATTCTTCTGAACCTCTCCTCACTTCCCAGTTTGATTGTCTGAGTTTCCTAAGCCACGGTGACAGCATTTTGGAAATGCCTTCTGTCCTGTTATCCACAATCTAATTGGCAGGATGCTTTGCAGTTGAGAAGCATATCACACATACCTTCTCAAACATTCCCAGGAGCTGCTTATCTGAAGAACAGGGGAAAACATCAGCACTGCTTTATCAATAGATGCTGCTTGGAAACTTGCTGGCTTTTATCATGGAAATGAACCAGCTCATACAAACTGGGGTTGGTTTTCCATTCTGTTTCCACTTTGGTCTGTTAACAGACCAAAGTTTTAGAGAGACAGGTGCTCCTTTTTCTAAAACAACAGCTCTACAGCCTGAATCTGGGATCTGAGCTGGCAGCTGAACTCAGCAGCAAAGAAATCTCTTTGGAGGACCTTGTCTTGATGCTTTGCAAACAGGGATATGCCTTTAGCAGTTTGCAGGACAGCAGGCATAAGATGAATGTGGTCTAGGGACAGCAGAGCTGTTGTGTAAGAAGTTATTACACACTCACTGCAGAGTTGCTTCACACCTGGTTGTGACAGAGGCTCAGGGCACTTCATTCCTACAGAGTCTCAACCAGACATGGATATAAGCTGCGTGCAGGTCACGATGTATCCAGCTATGCAGTCTCATGCCATAAATGCTTTTGCATCAAATGTGAGTTGTATTTTTATATCTTACCACCAGTATCTAGGTCCTGGTAATGTACTGGTGAGGATAAGCCTTATCTGCCCCACTAGTGCCACTTTTCAGAAAGACAGGAAAAGATGCTGGACCAAATCTGTGTCAGATTCAAGCGCATCACTTGCTGAAGGTGTTTCTGGAAGTCTTCTGCAAACAAAGACCCATACCTCACTTGCCAGATTTACTGCATAGTTACATGCACGGCTTTTTCTTCATTATTCATCACCAGATTTTAAAAGAGCTCAAACCCTATAGAACAGGTAGCAAAAGTTGTAAGCTGGTTTGTTTTTTTTTTTTTTTTGCATATGCAAAT